ACTAAAAATAGTACAAATTACGTAAAGCATGCAGTTATTACTCGCAGCGAGCCGGCGACTTGTGAGCTCTGTGGTCGGAGCTTAAGGAATGCGGAATCAATTCATGCCATGAGTGTCTGAGAAAAAGCAATGGCCAATGCATTTGTTGCCAAGACCATGCACGGGTTCAAGAGCAGTCACAGATTACAGATAGGCGTGTGTTAATGTTTATGGTTAATATTCATTAAATCATAAGCAAGAATATGTAATATTTTCAAGATCAAGTGGAATTTGTTGAATTTACGCGTATACTGATACAAACGACAAAGCATTCTTATTACAAGTTTTTGCTATCTGATTTCATATTATTAAGTCTAATACTGCTAGGTGCATTTACTACATTGTATACACAAAAATTAAACTAATAGTGAGGGAGCTTAACACAAAAATATACGAGAAACGTGCAAATTATGATACCAGCATGAAAATTTGGGAAGATAGGTAATTTGATACGCTGAAAAAGATAAGATGTGGACACACGCTCAAAAATGACCCCTTTTGCTGTTTCGAGACTGGACACTAGTTCCCAGGCTACTAAAATTGATCTTGCGATAACTTCACCACAAATTGTTGTACTGACTTCAAACTTCGCATTTAGGGACAATTTAACATGCTGAAAAATATAACATTAAAAAAGATAGCGAATAGTTACGCTATATACAGTTTAAACTGGGAATTAGTTCCCAGGCCTCCGAATTGCTCTTGCAATAACTTCGTCACAAATAGTGATACCGACGTGAAACTTCACATTGATAGGCAGTACCACATGGTGAAAAATATTATAATTCGAACATGGCCGTAAAACAGTTTAGACTGGGAACTAGTTCCCATGCCTCTAACATTATTTTGATATAACTTCATTGCAAATTATGAACGGACATCATATTTGATTTACAATTTTACATAAGCATTTGTAGTTAATACTGTATATATGCTTAAAATGATGAAGTTCGAACAAATTGCGAACTAGGTTCCAGGTCCCTGGAGCCGTAACTCTATTTGGGACTGGGAGCTAGAATACAGCTCTGTTCTCATTTTTGCCATGGTGAGAGTGAAAGCAAAACCTGGCTGTGTAAATTGAGGTGATATTTTCGTTAAAATCTAAAGCTATGAACAGTATTTTGTGTAAATTTAGAAAAGTAAAAAGTTTATCATAGGAAGCACAATGCAATTTCATTCAAATTTGATGTTATGTATCGTGAGGGAAACTTTTTCATATTAAATTATGAAAAAATATCAAGATGTCGGAGAAAAAGTTTACATTGTTAGATGCAGTGGCTGATTTTGATACAGCTAGTGTCAGGATATCAACGAACCAGGATTCAAATTTTGAGTTGTGTTTTATCTGCCAAGAACCGTCGGAAGAGCAACTTGTCTGCCCAGCAACGAACAGTACCCGTACAGATAAATCTACTGCCTACCTTGGTCCAGCAGCTTAAACAGTTTGAAACGATTGGTGAATTACCTATCAGTATATCTTCTAGAGTTAACTACTTGAGCTGCAATGATTTACTTGAAAGGTTTGTCAGCAACAAAGCCAAATTTAATAAAAAAGCTGAAATAAATACGACAAACAACACTACGATAGGGCTTCAAAGAAAAGAAAACTATCCTCTGAAAGCGTCTCGGATACTGTTTTACCACCAAGCACAAGAGCACGGTACACAGCCCAAAATTTTCAACCAAGATGTTTCTTTTGTGATAAAGAAGACTCAGTCGAAAATCTAACCAAAGCGCAGACATTCGAGCTTGACAGAAAAGTGCGAAATGCAGCCAATCATCTTTGTGATGAAATGCTTTTAGCCAAGTTGAGTGAGGGTGATATGATAGCAGTAGAAGCTCTTTACCATAAATCATGTCTCTCTGCTCTTTACAACAGGCTACGCGATTTACAAACTACCAAACCTAAAGCAGACTCTGAGAATGCTATCATCGAGGGGATAGTTCTTGCAGACTGAGATTTTGGATTACTTAAAAAATTATAAAGCGTCTACAGAAACCATCCCAGTGTTTAAATTGAGTGACTTAAAATCATTGTGTTTGCAACGCCTAAAGGAATATGGTTGCCTAGACGTTTGCATGGAAAATATTCACAGTACACGCTTGAAAGAAAAGATCCTCTCCCGCATCCCAGAGCTGCACGAGAGTAAAAAAGGAAGAGATGTTGTACTTACCTTCAAAGATGAAGTAGGATCTGCAATTTATAAAGATTGTAAACAGGATTTTGAAGAAGATGGAATTTGTTTGTCATCTGCAGCGAATATAGTCAGAAAGCAAATATTCCAACACATTCAGGCTACTGAGAAATTTTCACTAGAAGAGGGAAGCCAAAATACATCAGTACCCAGGTCTCTTGTCACGTTAAAAAGTACGATTATTGGCGGTTCAAGTATTTCGGGCAATGTGTCAAATGCTGAAAGCAAAATAGCCCTCAATATCTCGCAGCTGATTCTGTTTAATGTTGTTAAGCACAAGCGACGCAAAGCGAATGAATTGGATAAACTCAGACACAGTGCAGCTCTCGAAACACCTTTTCCATTATTCACCGGATTGTTAATTCATGCAAAGACTCGAAAGAAAGGTTTATTGAACACTTTTGCGCGCAAGGGTTTAAGTGTCTCTTACAAAAGAGTGCAGGATGTACAACTCAATATTACAAAATAACTTTGCAAGAAGTACAACGAAGACGGTTTTGTTTGTCCTCCAAGCCTTAAAGAAGAAGTTTTCACAACAGCTGCAGTGGACAATATTGACCATGACCCTTCTTCAACTACCGCAACAAAATCATTTCATGGCACCAGCATCTCCATTTTTCAGCATGTTGAAAAAGCGTTGGAACCGAATCAAATCGATCTTAGTGTTGACTTTGAAGATTCATCTACAAAAATAGAGCTTCCAGAATCGTATACAAATCTGTCGCCAACGAAATCGAAAGCAGCAGAATATCCACTGCAGACAGTAAATCGTGAAAATTCGTCTTATCTTCAACCTATGGATGAAATGGATGATTGGTTAGAACACCTGATGCAAATGAATGGTAAGGACGATGACATTAAAAATCGGTTTTCTTGGTCAGGCTTTCACTCAAAGAAGTCCGCAATTCGTGCAATCAAAACTACTTCAACTTTGCTGCCCCTACTTAATGAAAGTGTTAACTCCACGGCAATGTTACGACACACTATCGGAGTGGTAAAACAAATTTTGTTAAAGATTAATCCTCAACAGCCAATTGTCTTGACGGCATATCAACCCGTATATGCACTTGGGAAGCAGGTTCAATGGATGTACCCTGAATTTTATGGAGAAAGTAATGTAGTGATGATGGGAGCTTTTCATATAGAGATGGCCTTCTTGAACACAATCGGTGACTGGCTTGAAGGTAGTGGTTGGGTGGAGGTGTTAGCAAAGGCTGAAGTGAACACTCCCGGAAGAGCCGAGTCATTTTTATCTGGTAAACAAGTTAAACGTTCAAGATATGCCCATCAGATGTCTTGTTCAGCTCTTTATCTACTTGTTCAAGACGCCTATACACGAAGCGAGACCGACCTCTCGTTTGATACCTGGTTGCTTAAGAGGTCAAAGGAATCTGTGCAGTTTCAGTACTGAGCAACCGTGACGAATCTTGAGTTGATTCTGCTTCTGCTTGTTAAAAGTAACAGAGAATCTAATTTTATATTGTTTGTTAGTGTCCTGGAGCAAGTTTCGCCATGGCTGTTCTCTTTAGACCACACTCATTATTCAAGGTGGCTTCCAATCTTCATACAAGGTATGAAACAGCTTTCGTGCAAGCACCCATTAGTCTATCAAGAATTTAACAAGGGCCATTTCACTGTCAAGAATAGCACCAGGAAATTCTCAGGCATATCAGAAGACCAGGCTCACAAGCAGAACAACAAATTGGTAAAGATCGACGGTGGTGCAATAGGAATACTCGACAATCATACGTCAATGATGAAATGGATTATCGCGGGTCGAGAGATTTCTCGCATCTTGCGATCATTTGAAGTCGAGGAGGATAGAACCGAAGAAGATGCTCCCCATCAAGAGGATACAGATTCCCATGAAAAATGTTTTGGAACAGATTTAACATCCTTTAAAAGCACGTTAGATAAACTTGGAAACCCATTTGAAAAGGAAAACATTTTGATGAATGTTGTAACCAGGCAAATCATGAGTGAAGAAGCCACCACATCAGTAAATTCTGCTTACGATACAGGGAAGAAGCAATACGAAGACTATGTTCGGCAAAGGCTTATCAAATGCGAAGTTTCGATTTATGATCCCATTCCAAAGAATAAGCTGCCCTTATTTCGTGCAAAGAATGCGGTATCAACCTCTAAGGAGAAGTTAAAAATGGTGTCTCTGAAGAAAGATTTCAAGTTGTTCGCATCTCTCTATGTAGCCTGTCAAGCAAGAAATGGAGATCTAGGCGAATTTTTCCGACACGAAAATCATGCTAATCCACCGTCGTTATCCGAATATGGCAAGCTGCGAAAGGGAAACAAGGCAGACTTCTTGAAATGCATAGAAGATTACGGTGATACAAAGTTAGAGTGTCCTACAGTAACAGCGAAAATCGTTGACGGTGCAGCACTTGTTCAAATGTTACCTCCTGGATCTGCAAAAAAATTTGGTCAATATGCTCAAACCTTTGCAGAATTGATTGCCAAAGATTCGAAAAGGGAAATTTGAACCGCGTTGACGTAGTCTTTGATCGGTACTTTCCAGAGAGCCTTAAAACAGATACTCGTGAGAAAAGAGGCCACGGTACGCGAATCTCCGTTAAAGAAACCACACCCATTTGCAAAAACTGGCGACAATTTCTACGTGCAAGTGGGAACAAGAAAGAGCTGTTTTCACTCCTTGCGAAACAGCTTGAGTTAAGCGGCGATCGAGAGAAAGTTATTGTAGCAACCTCTGGTGAAGGTGTAAAATGCAGTTCCCCAATGGAAACAGAATCGCTTTGTCCGTCCAATCACGAAGAAGCGGATACTCGGATATTCCTTCACGCAAAGCATGCTACAGCGTCAGGACACCGACTGATCACTATTCGTACTGTTGATACGGACGTTGTCGTGATAGCAATTCATGTGTTCAGAAGGTTAAGCATTGAAGAGCTATGGATAGAATTTGGAACGGGAAGACACAAGCGTTGGCTTCCGGTCCATGAGTATGTTGCCAATCTTGGGGAAGATACGTGTGCTGCACTTCCATTCTGGTACGCATTTACTGGATGCGATACAGTGTCGTCATTTTGTGGTCGAGGAAAGAAGATTTGTTGGAATGCTTGGAAAGCATACAGCGATGTGACGGATACATTTAAAAGGTAATTCTTAATGAAAAGGTCTAAAAGAATAAACATGTTATCATTGATCATATAACTTAACTTAATTCCGTCTCGTTTCAGATTATCTGACAGAAACACCAGGCAAATAACGGAGGAAGATTTCCAGTCTCTTGGTTTAAGCTTTGATACCTTTAAAAGCCCAATCATTACAACCTTGTTATATCGACGAATGAGTTGCCGGAAGACAAGCTGACAGGCAACCATAATTAAAAATCTGAAAAGGAAATTTTCATTTTAAATATCTTTGTTTTAGCATAATTTGGGGACAATCTCTTGAACGATGGCAGAATATTCCTGACGTGAATCAGTTTGGATGTATACGGAACAACGATGCAATATTGCCGAAGTGGTCGCTACTGCCAGAGGCATCCAAAGCTTGTCATGAACTTGTTAAATGTGGGTGTAAGCGAAAATGCGAAAGCAGATGCAAATGCAAGCAACACCATCTTCAATGCACAGACCTTTGCCAATGTGGAGGGGAGTGTAGGTAAACAGACAACTGAAAACACACATTCGCCTCATACTACAAAACTCTAGGCAGATCTTGTAAGTTCACAATTTGTTTGAACTTCGTCATTTTAAGCATATATGCAGTATTAACTGCAAGTGCCTATGTAAAAACATAAATGAACTTTCATGTTGGTTCATAATTTGCAATAAAGTTATTTCAAAAACAACGTCAGAGGCATGGAAACTAGTTCCCAGCCTAAACCGTTTTAGGGCCATTTTTGCGACTTTTTTAAACTATAATGTTTTTCAGCATGTTGTACTGCCTATCAATGTGAAGTTTCACGTTGGTATCACTGTTTGTGACGAAGTTATTGCAAGAGCAAATTCAGGGGCCTGGGAACTAGTTCTCAGTTTAAAACTGCGTATACGGTCATTATTCGTTATTTTTTAATATTCTATTTTTCAGCATGTTAAATTTTCCGTGAATGCGAAGTTTGAAGTCAGTACAGCAATTTGTGGTGAAGTAATCGCAAGATCAATTTTCGTAGCCTGGGAACTAGTGTCCTGTCTCAAAACAGCGAAAGGGGTCATTGTTGAGCATGTGTCCACATCTTGTCTTTTTCAGCGTATCAAATCACCTATCTTCCCAAATTTTCATGCTGGTATCATATTTTGCATAATTTTTGTAATAAGCTCCCTCACTACTATAACAACAACAGTTGCGTAACTTTTGTGCAAAAATTCAGACTCTTTAGATGTTATTTTATATAAGTAAGCCTGCCTCGTCCCCAGGCGCTAATTAAATATTTCATGCGAGTCACTATATGAAAGATTTACATGAAGTAGTGCATCGCGATGAACAAGCGCAGGGGATTATGGGCTTGAGGCATCAAAATTGAGGAGCGCCTGGGTGAGATCTTGTGCCGTTTCTTGCAAAATTCGTCTGTTTCTTGCAAATCGTGGTTTTTCGACAGTTTGGGGCTTTTTTCGCCATTTTTTTTTGAGGAAACAACATTTCAAATTGTTCAATTAAACATGCGATTACAGTCAGATGATATTTGATATCTTTTAACGCTTTGAATGATTCCGAGATGTCAACACTTGAAGAGTTCTACGGGGCTGTAGAAGCCGGTTTATATAATAAATTTACAAGGTATGAAAAATGACAATGAATTTTTATCACAACGAGCAATTTATTTTAAAAATATACAGCTACAAGACGTTTTTTAAACAAGGGAGCGATGCGACTTTATTTTGAATTGCATTTGCAAGATTCGTCTCAGGATTTCAGTTACGCGCTTATTTACATGCAGTATGTTTGATTTTCACGATGCAAACGATCGACAATATTTTGAAAAATTCAGATAACTGAGATAAGGATAGCTTTATTTCTTTGTGGTGATATACATGAAGGGATTTATATTTAGATATGTTGTTTACTTGTATGTTCGACAGCTATTTATACAAGATCGGCCAGGCGCTAACCAGAACGCTCATATCCCACTCCCCTTTGCGCGCCTAGAGTGTGACGGACTACTTCATGTAAACCTTTCATATAGTGACTCGCATGAAATTTTTTTATTTAATAGCGCCTGGGGACGAGGCAGTAAGTAAGCTACTTTTGTTTATCAACAAATAATAATTGTCCAAAAATACGCATCTAAATCGTGAATTTTCCATTTTTTAAAAACTGTATTGAGCCACCTTGAACTGTAAATGTATGAATCATCATGGTGTGAATGTAACAATTAAACATCCTTTGGATTCTTTTGCAACTTGCCAAGTAGTTTAATTGATGGACTTGTCTGATGATATTTAATTTTGTTCCTATCTACAGTATTGCCTGTACAACTCTGTCAGAAACATTGGTGTTAGCAGCCACAAAAGGTTTCACTAGTTGTGCAATAATAGCAGTAAGGTTTCATATTACATACTGTAGTACATATACGCAATTTATACTAATGGTTCTATTAAGACTGGAAAATATCAATTGTATTTGAAGTCTAATGCTCAACAAAAACAACTTTACTTTTTCAGAGTAAGACTAGTAAAAACAAATTTTGAGTTTATTGTTAAACTATTATATAATTTCATGCATCCGGACCCTGCACAACCTCCCAGCTGTGACATAAAATGAATTGCAAGTTCCAAAAAATTTTGTTATTGATTTCAACAATGTGTCATTCAACACATCAGCCTATCAAGCAATACAAGTATGAAAGTTTAAATGATATTACACTTATTCAAACAGGACATTGTTATTAGTCAATTAGTCAGGCCAGTTGTGATTCTTGATTCTTTAAGCTAACTATTTTTTATCACATAACTAGTGAGCAATACGCTTCTCCAACTCAACGATAATATTCCATTCTTGAATATTTCATTATATTAGACTCTTCATTATAATGCATTATAATACTGGTATTGGCATACTAAACATATTATCATTTGTACAGTCCCAGGCATATCCGAAAAAATGTTAAACTGAAGTTATAACATAGTGAACCATGAAAGTACAGGCCTTCCTTATTGAGAAAAATATCTTTAATTATTTTATCATTGTATGAAGAATGATATTTGCTTTTAATTAAACCGGCTCCCTATAGGTATGATAGATTCATAATAATGTAATACAGGATGCTATAGAATTTCTGAAAATCTACTGCATTTTTAGGTGGAACACAATATCTTATATACGGTATATACCAACTATAGACTACAATTAGGATGGAAATTCAGAGCCTAAGGTTAAAAAATTAACCTTGAAACAAAATAACATATGACATGAACAATATAAATTGTAACAAATTAAAGGCAACCAAGAATAGCCTATTTAATAAACCTGAGAGTTATTAAATTACTTTTATATAACAAATAATTAAACGTACTAATACCTTAAAAAGAAACTAGATCGGAACATTTTGAAGGGACAATTTTGAACATAGTAATCAAATAGAATTTTCACTTCTTATACTTATATTATAAATAGTGTCCCTGTCAATGTTCTTAGCTCATCCTTTAAAATCATGACAGTCAACGTTAACGGTCTGATTCGAAGTATAAACTTGTTAAACATTATCGCGGAAAGGATTGAAGATTCATTTACCAACTGATGCTTTTGGTGGAAAGTTTTTGTATTCAACAGCCATCCATATAACTCCAAATGCCCAGGCCATTGCCAGACCAACGCAATTGTACATCATTGGTATTTTGCTGAATGTAGCACCAGCCAGTACACGTCCAACAATTATGCCGAGATTTAAGCTAGCAAATCCCAGACTTTGATAAAACGGGGCGCTATTCGCCGGCGTTATTTTTGACAACATCGAACAGGTTAAGGAGAAATTCATAAATTCACCACTTGCAATAACCATGGACAAAAGGAGCAGATAGGTCGCATTAATTGTGATCGCTTCGTTCCACATAAGAGCAAAATAAAACGTGATTGATATCGGAACGATTGCTGAGATAATTATGACAAAAAGACACTTCTTTTCGCTGACTTTGTCCTGTAAGAGATACGAAGCGATGAATAAAATGAAGACAGCCAATGAATTGTTTACATAAATTAATTTCACGTGAGTGAGTCTCAGTCCAAGGTGGTGTGCAGCTAGCAATGGAGTGTAGAATAAAATCACAGCCGTGACAACCACATGCAGAAACACGAGATAATATATGCAACACACGCTCGACAAAATACAATTGGTGTTGTCTTCTGTCCCAACAGTTTCGTCGTTGTTGTTTTCGTCACTGTCAGTGTCTGAATCGAACTGATTTCCTTTCGAGTTTTCAGCCAAGTTACTTGGCAAAAATATTGTTAGGACGAGCAAAAAGAACCAAACAATTGCCAGTACTACCCCTGGTGAATTTCCCGCGTTGATTTTCCAACCAAGTATGGTCACGTTGAATATGAGAAGACTGCCGATCGTAGGCCCCAATATTGAACCAAGACTAAAGAGACCTTCAAAATATAGGAAAGCCTTCGCTCGATTCTTATTTGTGGTGCACTTTGTCACTGCTCCGTAAAGAACGCCTATAGTAGCTTCACCTATCCCACTTATGAATCTTCCAAACAAAGGGAAGTATCCGTTGATAGGAATTGAATATAGTAAATTGCCAAAAAACTTTGTTAGACCACACACGAGAACGATTGCCTTCGAAGCTTGAAATTTTTCCTCAAATATTCCGAAAAATGGTGCAAAGAGCACGGATGCTGTTTGGAAAGCTGCTAGAGTTAAGCTAAGGAACGCATGTGATTTCCCAAGATACTCCAGATAATACCAAGCGGTTGGTTGCATTAGGTATTCCTCCGCACCATCCACAAAGAGACGAATTGATAAATACACGAAAACCAATTTATTGAGAGAAGTGAAATTTAGTTGAATTCTCTTGGAAGGTCTATAAAAAAGATTATTAACATCACATGGTGTAGTGAACATTGGTAAGCTAACATACAATTAGTACGTTCTGTATTCGAAACAAAACAGAAAATTTGTGTTTTACTAATCAATTGTCTTCAAGCCGTGTCCGTATTAGTTGAAGTTTCATGAATGCCCTGTAACCATAATAATCGAGCTTCAACGTAGTTCGGGGTGTTGCTGATACGTGCTATTAATATACGCGTGTTAGATCTGCTCTCCTGTATTTGTAAGCTTACCTCTCACAGGTTCTACTAGAGGGAAAAATGACCACTGCAGGGGTAGATTGTTCGAAAATCGTTCACTTAAACGGGGTTTAGCCGCTATCCGGCGTATAAATTCCCTATTCGACGGTTAGTTATACCCGGCCGATAAAATTGCGTTGCATGCGCAAAAAAGCAAAGTCCGTTTAGTGCCGCGTTTAATTATTAACTATACGTAGGCTAACCTTTAAATTAACCGAAGATAAACGGATTTTCCAGAATTTCCGCACCTCTACGTTTGCTGTTACCAGGGACATCGCTATAGAGGTAACACCCCAAACTATACGCGATGAGGACGACAATTTATTGATGGTAATTGCGTTAATTAATTAAATTAATATGGCCGCCATTGCCTTCAATAAAGGACAGCGGATGCCCTATCCATTATAAGTTGTTGATATTTTGTAGTTTTAGTATTTACAACCAGTTTATAATTCACAACATCATGACTACATGTATATAATATATATCTGCGAAATGTAAGGCAAAAGGTAAACTCGCGCGAGGGAAGAAGGAAAGACGTACGAACTCGGTAATCAATGCGAATGAATGTATAGTATAAACTCTCACGTTCTATTTTCTAACATAGCGTTTTCTATGCACATAGCTCCGGACGAAAGAAATAGAGAAAACTCTGAAAATGCCATTATCAACGATTTAGGTGCATACTGTGCAAATTAAAAAAAAATTATCCCTTTCGTCACTCGGTTTGGCGTGGTTATGAGTACCGTGCAAATGTGTAAATACCTAAAGAGAATACAATTTATACTCTCCTTTTGCCTTGGAGTTGAATTCATAGAACTCCAATGGCGTTGCAGTTTTATTTTTCCGAACTCACTGTTGAACAGTTAATTCCAATTGAGTTTGATTCTGGCTATCATGCACATAGGCTATAAAAATTATATACTTACCGGACAAATACTTTCAAGAACGCTCTAGCTTGATCCATACTGTCTTATTCAACGTAGTAATAACATTCGGGGACCAGTTGTACACAATATATATATTAAGCCTGCTTTGGGCAGAAAATAGAATATGTATCCTTTAGAACCAGTCTGATAAAAGAGAGGTAAATTATAAATGACTCTTAGTATAGGACATTAATTATAATTAGTTGTACTTATATATATGTACTTATATGTATATATATATATATATATATATATATATATATATATATATATATATATATATATATATATATATATATATATATATATATATATATATATATATATATTAGTTGTTTGTTGTAGTAGATAATAAAGTGCTCAACACTAGTATTATAGTAGAGCAAGATATATTTATATCTTAAAATTAATTATTGCTACTCAAGTTTCACGCCTTATTCAAGACGATCTTCAGGCAATTAATTCAGTTAGTGTTTGATTCGTCAATATCAACGGTCGCTCGCTGACGCGGAGGTTTGTCTATCGTCACCGGTTTGAACTTGCACGCGCTAAATTTTTCCTTGTGACAGCACTTTGCATAAAACTCTGATCGCGTGTTCAGTGAATTGTTTCCTTTCGCTTTCAGAATACACAATTTCTCTTCCAAGCAGAGGCCACATCGCTTTCCACCAGGCGTGTACGCAGCAGCTCGTTTCAAGATGGACCACTTGATGCTGTAATTTCTTCTACTTTGCTTCAGACTCCAAACGTACTTCGAAAGCTTTGTGTCAGACGAGTGGTTGTAGAGGTTGAATGACGTTTTGTGGTTGGCGTATCTTTCTTTGAATGGGTTGGCCGTCATTCCGATATACTCTTTTGTATTTCCGCCATCAGTTGTTGTCACCGTGGCTTTGTAGACAATGTTGTCTACTTTACACTTTCCGTCTAGTGGGCATTCATCTGGTTTTTGGCAGTTGCATGGGACAGGTTTTCGTGTAGGGTTTTTCTTTAACAGGCGATGGTTATGTCGGGATATTATGGTTTTGATATTCTCCATGCAGGAGTAGCTAACTTTGACTGTGTTGCGGTTAAAGACCTTATGGAGCGGGTTGGTAGAAGGGAAATGTTTATCAATCAACTGTAGGAAATTTCGACCGACGTTAGTTCGAACTGTTTTGCTGAAGGGTGGATTAAACCAAATGATGTTTCTACGACGTCTTCGGTTGGTGGATGGCAAACTGGAGGAATTATCACAGGCCGAGTATTGCAGAGGTACATCGTAGTTGCTGCGCTTAAGCGCATCTTCGTAGAATGGTGCAGCAGAATCAAAGGATGCTTGATCGGAAGAGAGCGAGGAGATGCGTTTGCTGATTGAGGAAGGGATATGGTTGATGATAGAGGGTGGGTAGTTAGATCTATTGTCGACGTAGAGAGGGTCGTCGTTTGGTTTCCTGTAAGGTGAAAATGTTTCGTTTTTCAAGTCCAAAGTGAGGTCGAGGAAGTTGACAACATGATGGTTCACCTCTGCTGTTATCTTGAAGCCAATATTATTAAAGATAGCGTGTAGTTCTTTCCTCGCGAGGAAAGCGAATTTCCTCGCGAATGTTCACTGAACACGCGATCAGAGTTTTATGCAAAGTGCTGTCACAAGGAAAAATTTAGCGCGTGCAAATTCAAACCGGTGACGATAGACAAACCTCCGCGTCAGCGAGCGACCGTTGATATTGACGAATCAAACACTAACTGAATTAATTGCCTGAAGATCGTCTTGAATAAGGCGTGAAACTTGAGTAGCAATAAGTAATTTTAAGATATAAATATATATATATATATATATATATATATATATATATATATATATATATATATTTGTAATCCAGGCATTTTATTAAATTATAATTTTTACA